TTTTTTTTGGGGGGGGGGGGGTCATTTGCATTTTGTATTTTTATTGGATTAGTTATTTTCTCATCAATAATAAAAACTCAAAGTGTATTTAGAAGATCTTCCATCCTCTCACATACAGCCTACTGCATGCACTAAAAAACTCAAGAATAGAAATAATTAGGGAAGATACCCATACAGTACACTGAGCTGGATGATGACATCACTGAATTCAATGATGAACTGTCTTTAACTGGAAAATTAGTGTTTACTATTGTCATTTTGCATTATTGACACACTATTTTCCTAATTAATGCTGTTCAGTTGCTTTGACACAATCTGTATTGTTAAAAGCGCTATATAAATAAAGGTGACTTGACTTGACTTGACAGTACATTATTCAATCAATGAGCTATAAAAGGGGGGAAATACATGCACAGGTGCATAAATACATTTTTAGAAACAAGTTACTTTCATGTTGCATGTTTCTTATCACAATTGTGCAGTCTTATTCTTTTATCTGTAAACAAGGGCTTTCACTGTTTCACTTTGGAACCTGGTTTTCATTCTCTTGAAATGATGTGCAATGTAGCTTTCAGTTTCATGTTTTAGTTCTTGAGGGAGGCTAAAAGGTGATGTTTCCTCATCTTCACAGAACCAAGTGGTTTGAACTACATTTTGTGGCCCTGGTTATCATCTCCCCCAAATGTGCAGTACACAAATATACTGTCATCTGACATTTGTGTTGTGAGGTCTGATTTGACTGTTAAAGACAAAACAAAGCTTTCTTTTAAGGCTGATGCATAATAATACTGTGAGGCAATATGTCAAAGTTCAAGCAACATGTGTGTGTGTGTGTGTGTAACTAAACAATATATATAATTATATAAACAATAACTAACTAAAAAAAAAGGCAATCCAAAAAGAAAAAGAAATGCACCTCTTCCGATAAATATCTGTAAAGCTTATTTGGATTTTTCAAAATTATCTTTAAAATACAGGGATGTTTCTTTTTTGCAGAGTTTATAAACAGCACATAAGTTAGTGGTAGTAAAACATTTGATATGATGCAAGTAATATAAATAGTATTTATATTAAAGTATAAATTACTTGAAGATAAAAAGCTAGTCTTAAGACTCATATTCCCGTTTTAAGATGGAAATTTTAGAGTACTGGTCGAATAACCAGTGTGTGAACATTTTGCTGAAACTTGTTTACCAAAATAGTTTGATGGTAAACACAAGTGCCTTGTTGGACAGACAGAAATTGCAAAAGAAGGAACAGAAAATGCTGCCTTTGTCAAGCTGGATATTTTGTCTATTTTCAGACAGCCCTGAACAAGTGCTGGCTCAGGCATTTCTTTACCGTAATGGACTTTGGAACTTTTTTTTAACCATATATGAATTGGCATCATGAACCCAGCATCTAATAGCGCTACCTGCATCAAAAGTCATGGACAGCAAGAAAATGTGTTCCTAAACTGCTCTGAAACGACAAGCAATCTGTCCAGATATAGATCCCACTGAATAACAGTGGAGGGATTTGAAAGCAGTTTGAAACTGGAAGTCGGCAGTCTTTAGGCTAAATTAGGCTTTAGACTAGAATTAGGCTAAACTGCCATCATTGGTTCCTATATGAAGCACATAATTACAGATATACAGTCCAAATGCTCTGTTATTAGATTAAACTTACAGTGCAAACAAATACTGCCCAGGCCATTTTAGGATTTCGTAATAATAATGTGCCATTATTTTATTTTATTTTTATTATAACTATACTTAGCCTACTTGACTAGTGAGGACCATAAAATATTTCTGTAAAACTAATGCTTTTTAAATACCCTGATTTTCAGTTTGTTTGTTTGTTTTTTTCATTTTCTAAACTTGGTCAATTATCAAAATCTTTGTCTCTGGATCCCAAGAGATCTTTTGTCTTTAAATTGTCTTTGACCTTTACAGTAACCTTTTTGTCTACATGTTTATAAACCTATATGAATCAGGAAAAAGCAACATCCTCTCACGTATATTTTAGAATGTAAATACAAATGACAGAAACTCAAGCTTTCATCTGGTTTTGTTTTTCTTCAAAAGGAGCATTTGTTTTTCAAGTGCAGCTTGTTCTTATAAACCAATTATGCTAATTTATATTTTTGTGAAAAATTATAAATTTTTGAATAAATGACATTTTTCTGAAAGTCATGAACATTTCCATCATATCTCAAATTATGTACTAAGTTTAGTTTAACATTGTGGTGGAAATTACATTTTAACTCATTTTTGAGTTTTTTTTCTTCTTCTTTTTTTTGCCAAAGCAATTTTTATAGCTATCATTTGATGTATGCACAACAGCAATAGATTTACGTTGATTTTTCATCATATGTCTCAAATGTCATATCATGCTAGTCATTGACACTCTTGTCTACTTGGACAACAAATACAGTAACTTGAAAAACTGTGGGACAAATGTAATTATAAAAATAGAAAGATTTTTCACATAATAAAAAATAAAACGTTAAATATACTTATTTTATGATGGATTTAAGGGAAACATTTTTTTTTTTTAAATATATACATTCAAAACATCTGAAAGACAGCCAAGACAGTTTGAATGTGACCTTCATTTAACAAAGCTATATTTAGTTTTTGTCAAATCAACACCAGCGTCCTGGAAACAGTTTTTTTTTCTAGGGTTAAACCTTTATTCTTGTAATACTTTGCTCATTTTGGTTACTACTTCACTCATTCTAAGTATTCTTTACATTTAAAGTTGTTGCAGCTATGTCTTCACTTTTCAATTCCTCTTCAGTTGTTTTGTCATATTAAGCTGATTCCCATAAACCTTTGTAAGGTTAACCAGATAAAAAAGTAGAACTATCTTTCCTTGGCTATTGGGTTAAAACTTTTTTGCATCTGTATTAAAACAGAGGTTCTAAATTGGGGGACTGGGGCCCAGTGGTGCCTCAGCACACTTTCACGGGGCTGCAAGTTGACTTCATAGAAGGCTATTAGAAATGGGTTCAGTGTATTCAGAAAAGTTCTAAACTTCAAAAAATTGTAATGCAGGGCCTAGGAATAAAAAAGATTAAGATCCACTGTTTTAAAAGACATTACAGTTCAGGGTTGTTGTACACTTTTTGTCATATCCGCAAAGATTTTGAAATGCTCTTGGTCCCTTCTTTTTTCCCTACAATTTTTTTTTAACCAGACTATAGCTATTTCTTACCTCTATCTCATTTTTTCCTATAGGCTATAGAGTACGACAGGGAAATTAAAACATGGCTTTAAACTGGAATTATTCGACTGGCATTAACAGAATAATCACAAACGGGGTTTTCCATCTAGAATGGTAAACAGCAGTTTGACATTCAGTCACTTTCACAAAACATTATCCACAATATCCACAGCACCAAGCAAGTGGTTTAATAAGTTCATTAATAGACCATATACGTGGGTGGTAGGCCTATTGAGGCTTTTGTTCCACTTTCCGATCACGAAATACTGTAGATGCTGCAAGCTTTCAAGGGCTCGCGCTGAATAGGATGTGGGGGCGAAAATAGGTGGATTCTGACCACATGAGGCTCCACTCATTTCTCCAGTTAACATATGACTCATACTTCACAGATCACTCATCAGGGAACCTAATAAATTAAAAGTCTTTTATGAGATTACTTATCCCATATTCTATATTCTCACTCCCCCATCGTTGTTGTCGTCATAGTCATATGCATGTTTGTTACTTTATGCAGCCCAAATAAACAGCCTTTTACAAACTGTGAACTACTTTTGTCTCTCTCCTCATTTTAAAGGGTTAGTTCACCCAAAAATGAAAATTCTGTCATTAATTAATAATAATAATAATAATTTATGCATTTAGCAGACGCTTAAAAGCAACTTACAGTGCATTCAGGCTATAAATTTTTTTACCAGTATGTGTGTTCCCTGGGAATTGAACCCATGACCTTTTGCGCTGCTAACGCAATGCTCTACCACTGAGCCACAGGAACAGAAAGTAAGTAATTACTCACCCTGTGTTGTTCCAAACCCGTAAGACCTTCGTTAACGTATCTGTATTTTTTTTTTGTATACTTGTGTGATGATCCATGTCTTAACTTACCCCGTTCAACATTCTCCGTGTTGTCTGGTTGTGAATTGTCTGCTGTCTGGTTGTAAACTATGATACAATCATACAGTGCTACAAAAGCATGTTGCTGAAATTTCTTTTTTTTCCTGTTTCCAATGTAAAATAGTTAAACATTTTTACAAACTAAAGTTACAAAGCTACGAGAATACTTTTTTGCGCAAAGAAAACAAAAATAATGAATTAAAATCGTCTCTACTGCGTCACTTGTGGACACGCGTTCATGACAGTACCAAACCATGACGCGAGCGTGTGGCGACGCCGGTGTTACCAGATTTTCGGTTTCCGAGATTTTCTGTTTCAGTGGTGTATAAAAATACGACATAATAAAAATTCTTCACTTGATTCTGGCATTTGATACATGACATTACCATTCAAAAGTTTAGGATTACTATGATTTTTTTTTTAAAGAAATTTATATTTTTGTTCTTCAAGGATGCAATAATTTAATAAAAATTACAGTAAAGACATTTATAATGTAAAAAAAGATTTCTATTTCAAATAAATGCTGTTCTTCTGAACTTTCCATTCATCAAGGAATCCTGTCGCTGTATAATGGTTTCCACACTTCATTAAGCAGTAC